CAACCAAACAGCCAGACAGCTTATCCGGATCAGCTGATCATCAGCAGATTATCAGGATAAGCTGCTTATCAGCAGAAGCTGGATAAGCTGCAGCTGCCCCAAACAGACCCTAAATATAGTTATCCTCGTACCATTGCGCATTACTGCTCTGCATAATTGGAAGCTGCTGCTTATTAAGCTTCTAAATGAAGATGCATTCAATTTGGGTTGATGCAGTGTTCATGGGGTTAATAAATTTATATATTCTTCCTTGTAATTGGACAAGGCTAAGGCTTGAAACGAATATGGAGTTTATAGGTGAGATGGAGGCGCTTGTTAATTCTAAATAAATTATACTATGGCATCCATGATTGCTAAACTAACCTTTTGCTAAAATCCATCGCATGAAAGTTTCATCTCTAAGATTGACTCTTTCTGTTAATGTCTTACTGATTGCTTTATCACCTATAGCTATTGGGTCATCTTGTTTTTGGTTGTGGTGGGTTCAATTTTTAATTTTGTCCTATTATAGGCAAAGAAAAGACAATTTTTTTTACCCTCCTACCAAGCTAGTTATCTTTTGTTGTACATATGTTATTTATAACCTTCATAATTAAAATTATAAATAGTTATAATTATAATGTGAAGCTAACATTCATTTTTTTGCAGCAAAAACACTATAAAAAAGAGAAAAAAAAATTATCATTTACTTTCTTCTTCTCATAGGTTGTGTTGGTAAAGTTACCTAAGGATGCACATCGTTGACTCTCTTTTTTTCATTGATTTTTGAATTCCACAAGTTTGCAAAACTAATAAAATGTTATAAGACTAAATATCAGTGGTATAATTTCTCACTTCTTATTGATATAATATGATTTTAAAAATATTTATCAATTTTTTCATACTAATATGATCCTCCATAGAATTACTTGTAATAATAAATCAATAAACTTTTAAAGCTGATACTTTTTTTTTTGCAAAAGTATTTATAACATAAAAATAAATTAGAATTGTACAATGTTTTCAGCAATTTTTAATATCTCAACCACAAGCCGGTACCATTTAATTAGTATAAATAATTATTATCTCAAAACAGAACAACAAATCTCATCCTCTCCCTGAATCTACATTATCTAGTGTTCTGCCCTTCTATTATTCTATCTATTCTTATGTCAGGAACAATATGGACTTGCTAAAGGGATTGTTCTCATTATATAAAAAACAATTTTCATTTCAACAATGGTTGGACAAGATAGAAAAATATCTTGACCCAGTAAGCCTAGTATCAGCTAAGAAATACTATAATTGGCAATACAGTTCTTTCTTGTCAAAAAATTCAGATATAATATTTTAAAAAAATTTATCGTATAAATTTTTACATAACCCTAATTACTACAGATTGTAAGGAAATCAAGACATGATCAAATAGAAGAAAGATTAGAAAACAAAAACTGGAATTAGGGCAAATGCTAACATGGATTCGTCATCAGGATGAGCCACCACCAGCAGGACATTTCTTTTCCTTCTGCCATTTCCAGCTCCTACCAACGCCATAAACCAGCTTAACAATATCTAAAATTAACACAAAAAATCCATGGAGATTAAGAATGCGTTTCCTTACTGCCGGAATTGGAAAGGAACGATGAATTGGCCTGAACCGAAGAAGAAGATAAAATTCTCCATAAAGAAACCAGCCACAGAGAGATCGCTGATAGAGTGAATAGAATCAAGCACGTCAACATTGTTTCCTTCCCTCTGCTTTCAAATTGATCGCATCTTTATTTCCGTAGAATGGAGGATACTTTAGGGCCTGTTCGTTTGAAAGATTTAACTGAGAATTGGCAGTCTGGTAACAGATTTAGAGCAGCATTTAACCTAATCAGACCGTCAATTTAGACAACATAAATCCGTGGATTTTACAAACCCTAATTCACGAAAAATTATTCGGTGGGCCCACTTAAATTTTTTTAACAAAAAATTGAAATAATCTTGACCGTAGATTACGTAGATCACCGTGATCCATGATCAAAATCGGACACAGCATACAGCGAATGCAATAATTTTTCCTAATTCACAGCTTTCGTATTTCGCGCAAAAAGACAGATGTCCATTTACCTTCCAAAATGTTGTAGGCGCAATATTTTTTCGAAAGCCAAAGTTGTATTCCTATGTCAACTTTTTAAATATAAAATGCACTTTTTTTATGGAAAAATTAAAATATTGGTATTAAATATGTAAATACAACTGTTATAGTCTTATGCATGTAAATATTCCTTTCTCTCATCCGAGCACCTCTATTAATGACAGCCACGCTGCCAAATGAAGCCCAATTGCTAAGGCAGCTTCCTACTGGGCCCGCAACAAACCAAGCCCATGAATTGCCGTCATGGAGCCTTCCGCCCCACGAGTTGGGAAGCCTCCCGGCCCAATCTGCGACAGATCCCAATAAATCCAGCGACCTTCTCTCCCATCTCCCTCTTTCACGGCCTCACATTTGTTCCCAGTTCATCCTTTATTTCATTTTATTTATTAAATTATTTTTTATGAATAAATAAATAAAAAGTTTAAATGAATTTGTAGGATATTTTTTAAATAAATCGAATGTGAATAAATAGAGTGAGATATACATATCACGGACGGCGGTGGATTCGGCCCACTAGAAAAAAATCAAAGTTGTTTTTTTTTTAGTATTTTCTCAAGGAATCATATATTAAATAAATAGGTCAAATATGCTTGATTTAAAAATAAAAGATAAATAAAATAAAATAAAAACACAAAAAAAAAATGAATGAGAACCAAAAAGCCTCCCAAGTATTTTATTTTAAAGGAATTTGGAACTTCTTACCTACTGAAAAATGTCATTTGCATACAGTTATAATTATTGTATATTTATACATCTAACCCTTAATCTTTAATATTTACATATATAACTGTCAAATCTTTAAAATCACGTAAAAAATATTACATTTATTTATTTTTTAAGAAAATATTATACATTTTTATGCATAATAAAGTTAAAATATTATACATTTTTACGCCGGGAGAGCTTTCCACATCTGCGTGTGATTGTGCTTCTAAGGAAGGAAATGAGTCAATGACATTGTTATTATCTCGTTTGATCATAATACCCTTGGTCTCAAACATCCAGGATTCATTGATGTCTTTAAGAATCGAGAGAAATATGTAACACCTAAACTTCAATTTTTACATACATTCCATCATTTTCATGAAAAATTGTAATTCATTTTTAAAGTTAAAATAATGAAATTTTTGATGTGATATAAAAAATTTGGGTTGTATAAATATAAAACACGAATATGAGAAACTTACATATTTTAACAAACATTCTTAGGTATTTACATTTCTCACCCTTGAACTTTTATATTTATGTACATAACATTTTGACACTTTTCGAAATACATGCATGAAAAAGTGTATTTGAGTTTTTTAGAAGTTGCTAATAATACTATTTATTGATGTAATATTAAATAGTTCAGTGGTACGCGTGTAAGTATGAAAGTTTAGGTATGAGATATCTAAATGCATAAGAATTGCGTGATTTGTATGTAAAACCCTAAAAAATCTTATGTGTTCTATATGTAAATACATGGGAATTAGTTGGTTTATATGTAGATGTCCCCTTTTTTTAGCACTTGTCTTCTTCACCACCCAGCCATTCATCCAAGAAACGTGGTTTGTAACTACATATCTGGTTTTAATGTCTCAGAAGCAACAGAAATCATACTTATGGATTAGCTAACACGAAAGAGTAAAACCTTCATTAGGATATTTTGATACGTTTCACACTAAAAAGTGAAATATAAAAAAATAACAAAATTTAAAACTAAGTATATGAAAATACAAATCATATAGAACATTTAAGTATTATTTATATATATATATATATATATATAAAAGGAGACTAGGCTCCTATTTCATTAAAGAAAAGAGGTACAAAAGGAAGGCAAAAACAAGGCACTTCCCAAAAGTTACAGAGAAAGAACTCTTATGAAAGGTAGATCAACACGATCTCCTTCCAACAGTAATTCTAAAGGAGTGATACAAGTATCTATGAAGGGACTCTGAGAATGGAGGCCAGCCTTAGCAAGCCAATTGGCAGGGCTGTTACCCTCCCCTTAAG